GAGAATCGGCCCAGAAATGAGCGAAATACGCCAGGATTACTGCCAGCAGCACCTGGAAATGAACCACCTTCCAAATGGGGAATTTCCATCACACGCGCCTGTGCCGTGTCATCCATGTGTCCCCCTCCCAATCCAGCCTATTCCCGCCCCCCGTCGGTGGGGGAAATGGTCAGGGAATGTGCAGAATAATGAGGAGACCCCATATCCGCCTTTCCCCCACCCAAAACGGTGCCAAATGCCCCGAGAATGAGGGCAAACAGTGTCCGGGCACTGTTTCCTGCATTGTTTGGCTATGTTGACATGTCCCACACACATGGAGCAGCACCGGGAGCCACAGAAACCCTTCCACATTGTCTCAGGCTAGGGGGGACTGCATTATGGCAGTCAGGACTGACCCCGTCACACTGCTTAGACACAGTATTTGATATAGAATTCTAGCTTATAGAAGTGCAAAATGGACGTGTGCTGGAGAGGGTGTGCGAGACGGAGTGGGTGGGCCGAGGAGTGGGTGGGCTGAGGGTGAGGGTAAAACCTTTGCATTCTTGTTGTTGTTGCGGCCATCCTTGCATCGTCGTCATGCAGTCGTCGTGTCCATGTAACGCTGGACAAGCAGACCGGACATATGGGATGAGCCATGCTGGCCATTGCAGGCGCTGTCATGCTCGTCTCGCCGCTGTCTTTTCATCTCACTGCCACCGTGCTGGTCTCACCCTCACCTTGCTTGTCTCGCTACTGTCGCTGTCAACCCTCCTCTCGCCTTTGCACGCTTCCATCAGCCCTGCGTCATCATCCCCTCATCCACCTCTGCCTTGCCCAGCTCGCCCTCATCCCAGAGCCAAGTTACACTGCACCTATGAAATGATGTGGCACCGAGGATGAGGGGCCAGAGAAGAGGGTGGGCATAGGCAGCTGGGGGTTGCAGGAATTGCAACCTGGCAGAAAGTTCGGGTCAGGTGAAGGGTGATAGACAGGTAAGTGGGTGTAGGTGAGTGAGCGGAGGGCGATGGAGGGTGTATACGAGAGGGATGGGAGGGAGATGGGAGGTTGGCCTGCGGGTTTGACTTAGATAGGGAATGGGGGTGGGTGAGGTTTGCGCTGGCCCACATCCCTATCGTGAGGGAAGGGGCACCCAGCGGCTTCATTGCGTCACCATTGAGTCTTGACATGGGCAGGCCCCTATGACAGGGGAAAGGAGTTAGTAAGAGTATACATATGCAAAATAACATTAGCTTGCCTTTTTCTTTGTGTTTTGAGGCTGGCTGGCCAGGGGAGGGTGTGCAGAGGGTGGTCATGGTGGTGGAGGAACATCGTTCATCTCTTGTTGATCATTTATCCAGCAAACACCATGGCTCTCTCCAATTGGCTGGAGGGGACAGTCCGGCATCCGCTGTACCAAGATCACCACACCCGACTTGCCATATCAGACTCATTCAACCTCGCTGACACCCCAAATCGAACTGTAATCGTACTAGTAATGTATGTATGACTACAATGAACTACTTATGACCTGGTTAATGTGATGGGTGCTTATGAAAACCCCTCAAAAGTGTACATTAGGTTATTTCGTGTTTCACCACGCACCTCATCCACTTGCAAGGGTTACGAGTTCGCATTCAGATAGCTCATGAGAGATATGTAGGATTTATAAATGCACTTCTTATATTTCATATCCTTTGATCCAGGGGTTCTGATGCATAGTATATGGTCCTGATGTGGGGATTATGTTGGACATATAGCTGATGTTGCCACTCAATGTTTCCTTTCAAAATATTAGCCTCGGATACAGGTAAGTGAGTATAATTGTATCATAGGATGAAATACCGACACTCAAACAATCAGCGTTCATGATCTGTACTGCGCAATAACGATCCCGTGCTGGATGAGTGGAACTGCGGAGACACAGGCCGTGACTTCCAGCCAATCAGCTCACAGACGGAATCTGCCAGATAAGCCATCAATGACGACGAGAGTCATTGATGCTTTTCCTTGACCGCCACCTGGCTGGCCTCCTCATCCTCCAATGCCTCAAATGAATCCCCAGAGTTGGGGGAAGAGGTAAGTAATATGTTTTATTCATGCATATATACTCTAATACAAGTTTTTATTGAACATTAGACCCCGAACATTGACTCGCAGTCAATGTTCATTTTCTGCCCATCTCATGCCCCTCCCCTTCAATAGGGATGTGGGCAGGGCTCAAACGCACCCTTAACCACCTCACACCAACTCACACCAACTCACAACTGCCCAGCCACCCTCCATCTGCCCTGCTGCCGCCCCATCACCCCTTGCCCTTGCCCTTGCCCTTCAACAGGAATGTGGGTCTGTCTTTGTCCACCCGCCGACACTCGCTAACGCCTCTCCTAATCCCTTCCCTCTTCTCTTCTTCCCTCTCCTCCCCTCTCCTCCCCCCTATTCGCGGTACCATGGCATCTCAGAGATGTCGTGTGACGTTGGGACAGGGTGGTATTTCTTCTCCTTGCCCTTCTCTTTCGCCCCTTCCCTCTGCTCAACCCACGAACTCACAGCAACACTGCAATGAAACAACCAACACGATAGCGGGGGTTCAAGCATGGTGACGAGGATGAGAACAATGCAGGCCATGTCAGCTAAAAATCTATATCAAACCCTGTGTTTAGCCAGTGTGACCTCACATGTCCAGACTGTGTTTGAGCAGTCAGGTTTTCCAAGGCTGCTGGGGTGAGTTTGCTGGGGATGCTGGGGCGATAGGGATTTGTTTTGGAGGCGAGAGGAGGTAAATAAATGACCAAACAACCCTCCCAGGGGTGGGGTGGGGTAGGGTAGGCCTGTGGGGGCAGGAGGGGTGGGAAAGGCATGGGAAATCTGTCTGAAACAGGCAGGGATGGTGGGGGATGCATGATAGGGGCTAGTGGAATGGCAGGGGCCTAAAAATGGGTTGGGCGGGGCTAGATATGCATGCTAATAATTGTCATGGCCCCCACAGGGTGCGGGATGGGCTGGGGGAGCCAAAAACGCAAAAAATCCAGAGACTTTTGCATTTTTAATACAAAACAATTGAATAACAAATTGAAAACTTAATATTTCAGTGTGAAACTTTGGGGACCTTTGTATCTATAGCAGAGGGTGCTTCAGGAATATTTTGAGTATTTATTATGAATTATGGGGTGCGCCACACAGCCAGGAATAGTGTGCGTGGCGGGGTTTGATGCACTTTGCCAAATTTGGCAATATTGTGATGCCTGCACATCCATGCATAATTCTGGCTCCCCCTCGCATTATCTCGCTTAGCTTTGGCTGAGCGAAATGTTGGGTACATTGATACCTTCCTGTAGACCCTTCGATCATGTGAAACGGGTGAGAACTCGTTGAGATATGACAAACACAATTTTGGCTATTACAATGCATGGTGCACCCATGCATCCTCGGGCGCGTTTATGCCCATTTAAGTCTGTCAAAAATCATGGAATACATGTCTGAGAGTAATAGAACCATTGATAATGCCAGGGGGTGTCTGGGTGTAGTATATCTGAGGGGGGGTATAGGTACACCAGGAGACCCACTCCGGATACCCCACTAAACGTACCTCTGGAAGTCTGAAAGTTGGTACATGAATAGTGTATATTTATTTATGAATTTAACATATTTTATCATAATTTTATATTGCCTGGAAGTTGGGTTATTGACCCATTTTCCACAAGCTGAAATATTCTATTGACCCCCAGGATGGGGGGTATTGGCACATTTAAAATCATGATAAATGACAATAAATGTATAGAAACAGATTGAGGTACTTGTGAGGGCAAGGGGATGAATCTGTGTAATGTTATTGAGGGGAGAAGGTGGAGGTAGTCCCCCACATGAGGATCTATCTATATACTTGCCAAATCTGTGTATCGCACCCATTAAACAGTGTGTTAGGGTCAGAATAATGTCCCTTAACATATTTCAGTAGTGACAGATGAGGCTCCGATGCCCAGGGGACATGGTATTAGAGAGTGAGCTGAAAATGCGCAAAAAATATGAAAATAATTAAAATGACTACCTTGGACTTGTTCAAAAATTACCAAACTTCATGTATGAGGAGCTATGAGCATTCTGAAGGGACGGCAAAAGACCAGATGAGATTCCGACCAGTAGGTGCAAAGATATGCGAAAGGGTATCAGAATGACAGTAAGAGCATCAACATCCTATCACAACTTTGGCATGCAAGTGGTGCTTTTGGAATTCATTTCGCATATCTTTGCACCTACTGGTCGGAATCTCATCTGGTCTTTTGCCGTCCCTTCAGAATGCTCATAGCTCCTCATACATGAAGTTTGGTAATTTTTGAACAAGTCCAAGGTAGTCATTTTAATTATTTTCATATTTTTTGCGCATTTTCAGCTCACTCTCTAATACCATGTCCCCTGGGCATCGGAGCCTCATCTGTCACTACTGAAATATGTTAAGGGACATTATTCTGACCCTAACACACCATTTAATGGGTGCGATACACAGATTTGGCAAGTATATAGATAGATCCTCATGTGGGGGACTACCTCCACCTTCTCCCCTCAATAACATTACACAGATTCATCCCCTTGCCCTCACAAGTACCTCAATCTGTTTCTATACATTTATTGTCATTTATCATGATTTTAAATGTGCCAATACCCCCCATCCTGGGGGTCAATAGAATATTTCAGCTTGTGGAAAATGGGTCAATAACCCAACTTCCAGGCAATATAAAATTATGATAAAATATGTTAAATTCATAAATAAATATACACTATTCATGTACCAACTTTCAGACTTCCAGAGGTACGTTTAGTGGGGTATCCGGAGTGGGTCTCCTGGTGTACCTATACCCCCCCTCAGATATACTACACCCAGACACCCCCTGGCATTATCAATGGTTCTATTACTCTCAGACATGTATTCCATGATTTTTGACAGACTTAAATGGGCATAAACGCGCCCGAGGATGCATGGGTGCACCATGCATTGTAATAGCCAAAATTGTGTTTGTCATATCTCAACGAGTTCTCACCCGTTTCACATGATCGAAGGGTCTACAGGAAGGTATCAATGTACCCAACATTTCGCTCAGCCAAAGCTAAGCGAGATAATGCGAGGGGGAGCCGGAATTATGCATGGATGTGCAGGCATCACAATATTGCCAAATTTGGCAAAGTGCATCAAACCCCACCGCGCACACTATTCCTGGCTGTGTGGCGCACCCCATAATTCATAATAAATACTCAAAATATTCCTGAAGCACCCTCTGCTATAGATACAAAGGTCCCCAAAGTTTCACACTGAAATATTAAGTTTTCAATTTGTTATTCAATTGTTTTGTATTAAAAATGCAAAAGTCTCTGGATTTTTTGCGTTTTTGGCTCCCCCAGCCCATCCCGCACCCTGTGGGGGCCATGACAATTATTAGCATGCATATCTAGCCCCGCCCAACCCATTTTTAGGCCCCTGCCATTCCACTAGCCCCTATCATGCATCCCCCACCATCCCTGCCTGTTTCAGACAGATTTCCCATGCCTTTCCCACCCCTCCTGCCCCCACAGGCCTACCCTACCCCACCCCACCCCTGGGAGGGTTGTTTGGTCATTTATTTACCTCCTCTCGCCTCCAAAACAAATCCCTATTGCCCCAGCATCCCCAGCAAACTCATCTCAGGAGCCTTGGAAAGCTTGACTGCTTTATCACAGGCTGGACTTATGAGATCACACTGCTTAAACACAGGGTTTGATACATGTACCTGGCTTATAGAAGTGATGCAAGACAAGGAAACCAAAGCCAATGGACTGTGCAGAAAGTCTGCTGACTATGGGCGCATCTTTCATGATATACTCAAGCCAAACATGAGTATTCTTCTTTTGCATCTGCAAATACCTATTAACCTCGTTCAGAAGAACATTGCTAGGACCAATGAGCCCTTGCATTTTGGGCACAAAATGGTATCGTGTCATTGCCTACATGTTCAATGTTCACTGACTGCATGTAGTCCTTGAACAGAAAGAACAATGCCATGAGCTCCATGTAAAAACAGAGGTGCGCTTCGCCCAGGGCCGTCTGCAGAAACTCAAATGTGAGTGGCAAATTCTATTGCACCCAAATGGCGGTTAATTTCCCTGCACTGTCAAGCAGCGCAAAAAACTGCACCACATGCACCATAGATTCAACTTCAATATGGGCAGGTAAATTTGCAAGGACCATAGAATGGGAATATTGCTGCACTATACATATGATTAATATGATGTCTTTTTCAAGCGGTTAATTTAACTGTGGGCATGGACAGGGAATTTGCCAGATGCA